CCGGCAATAATTGGGTGATCTGCAAAATTCAACCGTTCAAGTTGGCTCGAGCTAGATTGTCGACGATGAATACCTATCAGAATCTCGAATTTTGAGAATCTCGAAATATGCCTATGCTGTATTCAGGGCGTAGGCGTGCAATTTCTGGAGTCTTTAATGCTGATTTAAACCCTGGAAATTGCGAGATTCTAAAAATTCGAGATTCTAAAAATTCGAGATTCTAAAAATTCGCGCTTCTGAAAAGCCGAGATTCTGAAAATCGAGATTCTAAAAATTCGCGCTTCTGAAAATTCGAGATCTTAGATTCCCGTCGACGATAAATAACGAAAATATGGTGTTACCTGTATGGGGCGAGTCTTTTTGTACCATAGTGCCTCATTATCTACCTAAAATAGAATTTTTAAAAATTTTAAAAAATTAAAGGATGGTATATACTGGTTTGGTAAAAATGTACCCAAAATGTCGGGCCGGCCCGGGCCGGCCCGGGCCGCGGGCCGAAAAATTGGCTGCGGGCCGGCCCGGGCCGGGCCGGGCCGGGCCGAGAAAAATGGGCTGGCGGGCCGGCCCGGGCCGGCCCGTTCCCAGGCCTGCACCGGGGTGAAGCTAATTTTAGTTTTTCCACCTACCTGTTAATCAAATATAATGCATTTTCATAGCGTTTTTACTGGTTTTGATTGTTAGAAACCTACAAAATTATCTTAAAGCCGAGAATTTTGCCCATCTTGGCCATGGTAAGAGTTTACTTTACCCCCCCACAGCCGAAGGGTCTCAAAGTTGTCGGTATTTTCGCCGATTTTGTCGGGATTTTTGCAACGCCATTCGATAGAGCGTCGAAAAATATACTAGGAGTTTTAATTTGAGCCTACAATAATGTAAAATAAAAAAAGTTATAGCCAAAAACTTCCGGCTGGGGGGGTAAAGTAAACCGTAGCCTTGGCCATTTTTCGTACATTTTTGAGCAAAAATTCGAAAATTTCCCAAATTTTAATGCTTGTTGGCATAAGTTGTTGTGTAGCTTGTGTACAATGCCTATATAAGAATTGGAGAAAAATTGGTTGCCCCGCCGTTAAACGTGAAACTCCAATAAATTCGACGTGCTGCGCGACTCGATGCTGATCTGTGACGCCCGAATTCCAACCCACCACATCTCGCTTATGATCCCCCCAAGCGTCGAATGGTGTCGCATGTGGTAGCTGAAAAAGAACGATTTCAAGCATTTTATATTTAAGCATTTATTTCTGAAAGATAGCAATTTTAGGTACAATTCGGATTTTAGGCGGGATTTTGGGAAAATTTTAGGCGGGGGGAAGCCAACTTTTTTTTCTCGGCCCTGGTGGGTATAGTAATCAAATATAAAGTGTTTTCACATTGTTTTTAGCAAAATTTAAGCCTATTTGAATCGGAACACTTTTTAAAAAGTTAGAAAACGCTTGAAAAAGTCGAAAATGTGGTCATTTTTGGACCTAAAATTAAACTTTTTAATTAAGTTTTGTAAAGTTTTGGTGTTTAGGAATAGCTATAAACAATTTAGAAACACCTCCACTATTTATATAAAAAATATAGGCTTGGGCGGAAAAAAGTTCGGTTCCCCCCGCTTATCCGAATTGTATCCAATTTTAAGGTCATACCAGGGTTGAAAAGCCGCTTCGCGACTTTTCAGCCCTGGCCCCGTCCAACGCTATGATATCGCTCGAGTTGCATATCCCTACCGCACCTTTATGTCAAAAAATGAAAAACGCTCCCTCTGCCCCTTATAGATAGATAGAGAATATAGATAGAGAATATAGACCGCCACCACTTCCGGCGTATGCAAATTGTTTCCTAACGAAGAGGGTGCCCGAAAATTTCACTAACAAGGGAAGGGCAAGTGCACGAAGTGGAAATTCGAAAAACGCTCGCGGCTACCCCTAGGTTTTCGACTACGGCGATTCCGATGCGCTATTCAGAATTAGCCACCGAGGTCTGTAAAGCGAGTTACAGCACTTCCGGCAAAAGCGTAATTTGCATAGGCGTAATTAGGAAGCTGCTAAGGGTTTATTAGGATCTTCCACGGATCAACCATCAGCTGTGAATTGGTCGAATGCCAAGCCACTCGCTTTTTGAAATACCAACGGGGGTTCGGATCCGCCCTGATTTTTTTGTTTTGCTGTGTGGAGCCTAGTATTGCAGGTTTTCCTCATGGTTGAAAGAAAATTCTATTCAAGATCCGAGGTCCAACCCAAAAATTACAAAAGAAGAACATTGAAATCCCCGCACCAGCTATCGCATTTTCGAATTGACTTCCAAAAAAGAAAAACAAAAATGAGAGTGGATCCGAACCCCCGTTGGTATTTCAAAAAGCGAGTGGCTTGGCATTCGACCAATTCACAGCTGATGGTTGATCCGTGGAAGATCCTAATAAACCCTTAGTAGCTTTCCAAATAAGGCGCATGCAAATTACGCTTTTTCCGGAAGTGCTGTAACTCGCTTTACAGACCTCGGTGGCTAATTCTGAATAGCGCATCGGAATCGCCGTAGTCGAAAACCTAGGGGTAGCCGCGAGCGTTTTTCGATTTTCCACTTCGTGCACTTGCCCTTCCCTTGTAAAACCTAAATTTAATGTCGAAAACAGCATAAATTGCAAAGCTTAGATGCGTGCAGTCATCCCAGAGCCATTACGAACCTAATGACGTATCATACGTCCCTTAAAACCCCTCCCATCTTGAGATATCCGCCGGACACGCTGACGGATGTTGCATGCAAAGTGTCATGCAGACCATGAAAACGGCAGATGTACGCGAGATCTGCATGCTAATTGCGAAATTCCTATTGAAAAGCTGCCTGTTTTTTACAAAAACGTTGAATATCGGACGAATAAAAATAAATGTCAAAAAATGAAGCCCGCTTGTTTTCTTGCCTTTTCGCGGGCGTTCAAATGGTATAAAAACCATCCTGAGTGCAGTTTCCCCCGGACCGCTAGAGGGGGGTGCTTTTTTAGGGACACCCAGTACAAGACGCGGTTCTGGATTGTCACCTGGGGAAAACCACTTTCATTTTTCCGCCTATTTTCCACATGTTGATGATATATAATGCATTTTTCTAGTGGTTTTAGTAGTTCTTGGTTTTTGAAAAAATTGTAAAAAATGTCTTGAAAAAATGTTGAAAATTCGAGAATTTTGAACCTTTAACCATTTTTATACCTTTTTGGACAAAAAGTCAAATTTTTCCTAATTTTTTATCATTTTTTATAGGATTTTTAGAATCTAAAAGCTGCCTAAAATGCTAATTTCGTTACAGGGCCGTACGGAATTGATGAGGAAAAATTGGTTCTCTCGTTGACTGTAAAACACTGAGTAGAATGTAAAATTATTTTTATTTGGCTATCCGTCCGTAAAAATCTAGGCGGGAAAATAAGTTGATTCCCCCCTGCGCCGCTAAAATACCGGCAAGAAGCAAATTTAGTTTGTTTAAGGCCAAAAACATCGATTCGAAAACTTTAAAACCGGGTTAATAATTTGAAAGGCGTCGAACAACGATCTGTTTGCATTTTTTTACATTTCGGAATCGCAAAACAAACTACTTACTTAGAAACTGTTACCCTATCTAGATTAGAAAAAATCTCGCGGAAAAAGGAATTACTCCGAAATGTTCGTGGTCGAGCCCATATTCCAGCAATCGGATGGCCCGTGGCCGTTCGAGAAAGCGGGCAAATTTCACGAAGTATGCCGCGCTCTTCATCCGATATCGCCTAAGAGTTGGAGGAAATAAATTGAGATTGAGTTGACTGACCGCATAGGACTCCTGCCCGGCCAAGATTTAAATGATTGCGGGTAGCCCGGTTCGGTGGTGCCGGGGGTAATTCTGGAAAATGTGTGTGTGTAGTTGATTCTCTTCAGGAATTGGTACCATTAAGTTGAAAATCATAATGTCGAAATTTCATGATGTAATTTGAATTTCGTTATTATGAAATTTCGGCATTCTGAAATTTCGACATTATGAATTTCGCTATTAGGAAATTTCGGCATTCTGAAAATAAGCCTGCTGAAGCTACTGTTTGTCGAGTGAGTGATACAGCCGTTTGTGGGGGTAGGAGGTGCTGATTCGAACTCCTCCACGACTCTCCACCATCACGAACACCCCCGATACTCGCATCTGAGCCCGGTTCCAACTATTTCGGGAAAGTTCCCGGATTGCCTCAGGGCATTCCCGGAATCTCCCGATTATCATTCCGGGAATCCCGTTAAAAAATTTCCCGGAATGTCGCTCCAACTATTCCGGGATTCCCGGAATAGGATTCCCCGAATTCAATTCCGGGAACAATTCCCTGAATTGATTCCCGGAATGTTGCTCCAACTATTTCGGGAATTTTTATGGATTCCCGCAATACCATTCCGGGAATTTTTTAACAAAGGCCTGCCCTCCCCGACCAAAACTTGGGGAGACCATTCCGGGAATCGATGTTTCCATTGTTCAAAAATTCTGAAATTTTCACTGTTTGTTGGAATAGGGCTTAGTTGACGATGTGCAAATTCTCATAATAACTTTGTCGCCCTAGATGGTGTTTTAGCGGCCATAAGTTTTGGCTTAGTTATTTTTCAGTGGAAATCGATGCTTGGCTGTATCATGCCAAGGAAACCGTTCATTTTTGCATGATTTTTTTTGCTAGAATTATTACTAAGATTTTATATAAGTTAGACAAAATTTGGCTTCCATTTGCTGCGGGACATTCCGGGACAGTCCGCAGCATTCCGGGACTATTCCGGGAAACATTCCGGGAATCCCAGAACTTTTCCCGGAATGCTGCTCCAACTACATTCCGGGAATCTATTCCGGGACCCTATTCTGGGAATTCCCGGAATAGCTTCCCGCAATACAGTTCGAGCAGCATTCCGGGAAAAATTAAGGGGATTCCCGGAATGTTTCCCGGAATAGTCCCGGAATGTCCCGGAATACATTCCCGGAGCGATTCCCGGAATAGTTGGAACCGGGCTCTGAAAGGTTAAACTGGTTACGGCATTCTATAGGATGGATACTTCATTTGGCTGGCCGCCTCGCACTATCAATCCGTCGATAGTCACCTTCGCCACGCGACCCGGTAGAAGACCTCTACCATTAATGCGTACGCTGGAAAATTGTGACATTTTCAGGCGGTTTAAATGTATAATAACACGTCGAAATCTTCCCCTAAAAAAGTTACCGTAATTGTTGGGTGGCACGGTGGAGGGAAATGAGGTCATCCGGCTCGAGGTGATCGAACACCGCATTTTGGAGGTCGAATGGCAAACGGACGAATTCCATCGGCTAAACGGAATTTTCGTGGTGGCACTTATTCAGCCTCTCGCCGACCCGATGACACACCAATTGGTCGCCGTTAATAACAATAATAAGCGGCTAAAAACTAAAAAAAATATACTGCCCTGTTACTGGGGTGGGCGGGGGTGGGAGGGGGAAACCAAATTTTCTTCCCGGTAACCTTGCTTTGAAGCCAATTTTTGGTGTCGCTCTTTCCCACATGTTATTGGTGTGTACTTTCGCGGGGTACTTTCCGCGACCCGGGGTCATTGCAGGCGGCAATTCAAATGGTGCCCCCTGCACTTCTTGGCAACATTTCTTTTTTTTGCCGTTTATGGAGCCATTTTTGATTTTCCTTCAAGGGTGTGGGGGATTTTGACTGCCCGTTCACACCCAATCGTCGATTGCTGGCATACTGCCGGAAATGACCGCAACGCGACGGTAGCGCATGTTCTCTAGCCTTTCCATGCAAGAAAATTGACATAGCGGGTTTCCTAAAACAAAACACCTCTCCGGCAATATCCGTATTACATCCGATCGGAACCAAAATTCGACCGGAGGTGTATCAGACCCTTAATAACCACAATCCTGAGTTATAGCCCGCCAGCTACAGTAATTTTCGAGATACAGCAACAATAAACTTTATTATCCGTTTTTCATAAGGTTTCCGTCGGAATCGATTGTTCGAATATGAAGTGAAAATGAAGCCGCATGCCTTCTTCAACACCAGAAATTTTTTCCCGATATAAATTCATTAAATAACCGGTGATTTAAACAATTTTTGTAAACCAAAGTCACCCCCGTTTTCAAGCGAAATTAGGGATTTGCAGCCGGAATTCTATGCAAATCGATGCAAAGTTCAAGAAGATAGCCGAAAAAACTGCTAAGAATCGCGTAAAAAAATAGGATTTTGGCGAAAACTCGAAAACTACGGTAGCGATCGGGCTATAACTCTGGATTGTGGTTATTTAGGGACATAGATTGTCTTTTTTTGGGACACCCTGTCTGGACGTAGGCACAGTGCGCCCAGATGAGAGCCATTACGACAGCTATTAGAGATCGGGGAACTGAGAGAGGCGCAGGCACAAAAACGCAGAGAGGGTTCGACTCCTGGCCACGGAAATTCTTTTGTTTTATTGGCTGGACCAGCTCTTTAATAACAACAATCCTGAATTATCGCCCGCCGGCTACACAAAATTTCGAGACAAAAGCAATGTAGAGCCTTATTAGCGTTTTTCATAGGGTTTTTGTCGGAGTGGACCCCTAGAATATTAAGTGAAAATGATGCGGGAAGGCTTCGTTATCCCTAGAAATTTTTACCTGACAAAACTTTAACAAATAAACGCTTATTTAAACGTTTTTACAAGCAAAAACAACCCGCACCATAAGCGAAACGAGGAATTCCGAGCTGGAAGTCGAAGCAAATCTATGCAAAGTCTTCCATTCTGGTGCGGACGCGATTTCTGGCATCATCCCTTATTTCTGATGATTGTGGCCGTATTTGCAGACTCATGGAATTCGTCCGTTTGCCATTCGACCTCCAGAATGCGGTATTCGATCATCTCGAGCCCGATGACCTCATTTCCCTCCACCGCACCACCCGCCGATTACGGTAGCTGTTTTGAGGAATCACGGTTGGCCTAGTAATCGAATATAAAGTGTTTTCAAATTGTTTTCAGTCAATTTTAACTATATTTACCGAACTTCGGTATTTCTTCCTCATTTCTTCCTCTCTCCCATCTTGGGTTTTTCGAAATTCCTTAACGATTTTACAAGCAAAATAGTAAAAATCCTGGACAAAACGGGCGACGGGCCGTGGTTTTCGGGCTATAACTTGAAGCCCTGACGGAATTTCGGGCTGGAATTTCGACAACTTATGAATTCAATGGTGGGGATCACGCGCATCTTATTATCTTTAAAAATTTTAAGTGAATTCAGGCTAAAAAATGGAATTTTGTAAAGCCCCCAGAAGGCCTCCCTCCCGGGATCATTGGGTCGCCCTTTTCTTTGTGCCTCTGCCCCCCCGGTGTTCCCCTAGGATAGAAGACGCCTTTCTCGCTGCACCCTGCCATCTCGCTTTGGTGTAGTGGATTAGCGTCGCGGGTTCGGATCCGCGAGAAATTTATGTTTTTGCTTTTTGGTAGTTCAGCAACAAAACATATTTCTAGGATCAACGTGTTCACGATTCAGGGCTGGCTCTCGCTCTTGCGCCGCAGACCCAAGACAAGGTCCTTGGCCCAGGCTTTCGCGCGGCAGGCTAAATCGGGAAGAAAAAGCGGCAGCTAGCGCCGCAGGCTCGAAGATTAGCGCAACGCTGGCTCTCGCGCGGAAGGCCAAAGAATGGCCTGACTCAGGTCCTTGCGCCGCAGCCAAGCAAGAAGCCATTCAAATTTCTGGTTCCTGGACGGGGTCCAGTGGAAAAGGGCCGCGAAGCGGTCTTTTTCCACTGCTCCGAAAAAACCTCATAATTTTCCAGCCGGTGCATTAATCGCAGAGGGCTCCTACCGGGTCGTGTCGCGAACGTGGAAATCGATGGATTGGTGGCGCCGGGTCGTGGCCCAGATCGGGTATCGCGCCAATTAAATGTCGTAACCGTTTTTATTGCTTCAGATGCCAGTAGTGTGCGTGTATATATTGGTGGAGAGTCGTGAAGGAGTCCGAATCAGCGCCGCCTACCCCAACAAACGGCTGTATCACACGCTCGACAAAAAGTATTCTTGAAGAATCAAACCGAGCAGCCACACATTTTCCAGTATTGCACCCGGCACCATCGAACCCGGCTACCCGAAATCATTTGAAAATTGGCCGATGCGGTAGGTCTCTTCCGAGGTCGTAATCAAGTGCTTTAGTGGTGCCCGAGCGGGTCTGGACTGTTAGCGGGAGGACCAAATTGTTCCCTGTGATTCCCAACGGCCCGATCACCGAATCTAAACCATTTTTATAGGAATTAACGTATTTTTAGCGATCAAAACTATGTAAAAATAATAGAATTTTCCCAAAATTTTATTATTAATTTTTGGTCAAAAAGGTGTCTGAAAAAAGTAAGAATTTTGAAAAATTATTTTTTTTGCAACTTTATTGCAATGAAAAATTACTAAAGCCCTATAAAGACTTTCAGGTATTATCCTCAACATTTAGGTATAGGCGGAAAAACAGAAAGTGGCTTTTCCCTGCTAAAAATCCCCCCCCCCCCCGCTAACAGCCAAGAACCGCCCGAACCACAGGGTGTTCCAAAAATTTCGAAAGCGTTCGAAAAGGCGAGGAGGAGGAGAAAAGCCAAAATCCCGACAGACAAGTCCTCCACAGGCCATAATTCCGACACTGAAGGTGCTGTTTTGGCTGTCGGGATTCTGGCTGTCGGGATTCAGGCTGTCGGGATTCTGGCTGTCGAGATTTTTAGTAAAACCCTTTCTGGGGCATCAGGAAGCGGTGCGTTGCGTCAAAAACTGCATAAATGCAAGAAAAATTCCGGAATTTTAAAAATCGAAGAGAACATGCAGGGTGTCCCAATAAAACAAACACAGGAATCATGACGATGCCGGTGCCCTGAAAAATGTCCAGCCATTTCGGTAATCGGTGCTTACGCATTATCGGGGGGGCAAACTACTCGGCGGAGAAGGGCCTGATCGGAACGATGGTTACACCATTCGGAAGCCCTTGAAACCGCGAGTTTGCAACACCTTTCAAAACCATGTTTGTATTTAAATGCGCGGTGCCCCCGTGTTAGCGGGGGAGCAAGAAATAATTTTTTTTGCGAATGCGTTTCAGGGGTGAAGTAATTAAAGCTCAACGATTTCCAATAGCATTTTACCCCTAATTTTACTCAACAACAAATACAACTACATAGAAAGATAGTTACAGCAAAAACATGATTTAAACGCGGTTTCCCTACGGGAACAGGAGGTGCAAAGCTAGTTTCGACATTTTCGACATTTTTACAAAATTTCTTTAACGTCGATAGAGCGTCAAAAAACATACTAAGCGTTTTGACCACAACTCAAAATAATGCAAAATAAAATAGTTATGGCAAAAACAAGCAAAATCCAAATAACCGGATTTTTCGCAATTCCCGGCCAGCGGATAGTAGCTGGGACCTAGGGCTACCGATTGGTGGCCTTAAAGGGCACGTTCAGGGAGGGGCCGTATACTCTGTCCAACGTATACACCCTATGGACGTAGGGACCGCGCGCACGGCCTGCCCGTGCTGAGACAGGCCATTCCCCTCCTTTGCGGGGTGGGGCGCCCCTCGCCCCCTCACCAGGTTGTAGCTGTGGCTGACTGGTATGCATCCGCGCTTCCCGAGCGGGGGGCCCGGGTTCGACCGCCGGCCGCGCAAAAAGCAAAGATTTTGCCTGGCGAGGGGACGAGGGGCGCCCCACGCCGCAAAGGAGGGAAATTGCCTGCGAGGCCACGGGCATGCAGTGCGCGCAGTCCCTACGTCCATAGGGTGTATACGTTGGACAGAGTATACGGCCCCTCCCTGAACGTGCGCTTTAAAAAAATTTTGGGACCATCTGGCTGGGGGGGGGGGGGGGAGGTAAAGTAAACTCCTGCCTTTTTGTTAGCAATGTTCGACACTATTGATTTCGCGACTTGCCTTCAATAACAGACGCTACCGGATGAAACGTGCGGCGTATCTCGTGAAATTTGTCCGCCTACTCGAACGGATGAATGCCACCCCACTCTTCCAATGCAACTGGTTTGAGGATATGTATGACGTTCAGGTCAGTAGGGTTGTTGGTACACATCGGAGAACCGCCATCAGACTTACGTAGCTTCACGTTGGGAGGGTGACCATTGCGCGCAAGCATTTGCGCCAACGACACTTGCGCTTATGCAAATGCGCCTATGCCCATATGCGCCAACGACATTTGCGCCAACGACATTTGCGCCCAACAACAATTGCGCCTAACGACAGTTAGCAAGGTTTAGATTAGCAAAACAAATTTTTAAAAGCATAGAAACCTAGAAGATCACCCATTTTAAGCGTTGGCATTACAAACAAT